GGCGGTGTGCGACGAGGCGTTGTCGTGGTGAAGGAGGATCCTACTGCGAGGTCGTTTCTCTCGAACTTTTTCCAAGACAAGTGGCAAACAATTGGTAGTGTACCATTCTGCAGAAACTGTTTTTTGATCCTCTAACACAATTGTTGCAAAATGACCTATCCTTCCAAAGAACGAGGCCACCATTTTTTTTCCCGCACTTCGATCTCTCTTCACTTTAGTTGGCAACTCCTCGAAAGGAAACACCCACTGAGCAGATTGTCTTTTGGTTTTAGGATCATAACAGTAAATCCAGCTTTCGTCACCTGTTAGTATGTCGAACACAGCATTTGAGTCACCTCCGTTAAATCTTTCAATCATTTTACGACACCAATCCACACGATGGAGTTTTTGAGCCTCAGTCAAATTATGAGGTATCCACCGGGCGCAAAGCTTCCTGACCGCTAAATGTTCGTGGAGGATTTTGTGCACTTGACTCATACCGATGCCTAAGCTTGTCCGAATCTGTTGATAGGTCACTCTTTTGTCAGTCTCTATCATACGCCGCACAACACAGATGTTATCTTCAGTCGTCGCCGTAGAAGGCCGTCCCTCACGTAAATCATCAGTGAGATTAGTGCGACCACGTTTAAACTCATTAAACCAGTTGTAAACAGTCGCACGAGATGGGGCTTCATCGTGAAAGGCCAATCGTAGTCTATCATAACTTTCTTGTTGACTTAAATGACATCGAAAGTCATAAAAAATCATTGCACGAAAATTTTCTCGTGTTAAATTCATGATGACGTGACACAGACAATTTTCAATTTGCCGCCAAATCGTAAAACAAATGACAAATGAATGAAATATATACTCAGTAATATTGGCAAAGAGTTATATTTTCAAATTTTAGAATTATTTTTTTATTATATTGTTTATAAGTGGCCAGTTCTAAGAACTTTCAGTTTGACCCTCGTATAGATAGTCTGCCTAACTTACCAGTATGAAAATTTGTTAATGAAAACTTTGTTAAAAACATTAGGTATACCAGCTTTAAAATTTTATTTAAAATCGTGTGCATTATGTATTTATAGCTTTATGGCTGAATTAAATTTAAATTAATTTATTTTGATAAATTACCAAATATTATGACAGCCGGATTGCAAATACATTATTCTAATGATTCGCGTGCTTTCTTTTCAGGTATGCTGAAATTTCACTAGCTAGCAGGTTGGGTAAGCGAATACTATGTCGTAAACTTTGAAAATGCGTCTGTTGAATTTCATAGGAATCCGAGAGTAATATGCGGTAACTAAATATATATCATGCGTGACCGTGACTTGAAATAATTGGCTATTAAAATACTTGAGCAAGTGAAAAGTCAATGGGCTTGCTAAAGACCTCTTCAATCAGTTCGGCTGATTTGTATGACCTATACGTTCAGTGACCTTGATGAAGGTTTCCTTCAGTTTTTGTTGTGGAATTTCATTAATAAGGAACTATAAGAATGTTTAATACTTTTAGGTATTTATAGTTTTGACTCGTGCGGTATGACTGTTATTAATTATGGAAGGCCTGGCCAAACTTAATTAATTAATACTTTTTTAACAGTTTTAAACACACTCAAAAATGTAATAGGTATATGCGGGTAATATTAGCAGCGCAGCAAATTAATCAAAATGCATACAGCGAGCAATACTGTATTGTTAGAAAACATCATGGATGTTCTATGTATCGCTTTAAATCGGTCAGCTCATTGCATTTTTTTAATCCAATGTCAGTCATATCGAGGACAATGTAGATTCTGGGCCTGCGTTTCTTACTAGTTACCGGAGCCCATCTGACAAAAGATAGAGTTGACCAACCTCGGCCGGTACAGCGATTAGAGAGCCCCGAATCACCGTATAATCATAAAATTTATACTATGCCGGAACTTTACGACATTTAGTTCACGATCGTTTAAGTGTTTCGGACAGTTTCTGGACCAGGACAGGACAAATCAAAGTTATGGACCGTCAACATTTATACTCAGCACTAGACAATAGTGAGTATCTGTTCTGTATACATAGGGATGGTCTTATGTGCTCTTGTGTTGTGATTGCGCCAGTAAATTATTTTATCAGTAAAATTACTAACTTAATATTTAACAATGATATCCAATGATATTTAAACGATAATCACATAAAGCTATCCAACTGTTGTGTTTATGGATGACTTGAGTCATCGCTCTCCAATTACAATGAGATATACGAATAAACATAGACGCGTGTAAACGTTGCTCTGATAAAATACACGCGGCAATAAGTGTTGACTATTTTATTTATAGCTACTGTTGTAATTTTCAACGACACCGTTGTTTTTTTAGGAACTAGTGCGTAAGTGGGAGGTAGTAGATAATAATGGGACCGATTCTATCGCAGTAGCTAAATGTTAATATATTGCTCTATGACTAAATGAAATTCTTCTATATCTATTAATGTTTTCTTTTTTGGAACACCAAAAGGTAACAGTAAATGTTAAATAATTTGACATTTGAAAATTGAAACATTAACCTCTAAATGCTCGTTTTGTTATTACTTATCAATAATGCAGCAAGACTACACGAACGACAACGTGTTCTAGAAACATTGAACGAATACTAATTTGTTCAAGTGCGATAATATGCAAAATAAAATGCCGTTATTACGACCCCACATACAAATGAAAGTAAGGACTAAACATTCGATGCATTTCAGATTCATATTATTATGCTATATATATATGTCGGGGAGTCATGGGGGGCCGGCGGAAAGTTAGGTTAGTCAACATCCGCAATCTGACTAGTGGTCGAGATATTCCTTCGAAATAAGATCGCATATAGATCACAAATCAGTTATTTAGTTGAATTACTTAATTATCTAATCGGAGTACATTAATAATAACTCGATGCAAACGGATTGCGATACGAAACGCGGAGAGTTCTGCGCTTGCATCCGCTCCATATGGCCGCACAACGTAAAGTGCCATCTTCGAACAAGCATAGACCACTCCCAAGCGATGACAGCCGTCAATGTCATAACTTGACGTTTCGCAAAGCACCATAGATCTTGACAGATGACAGATGCAGGTGACAGATGGCATTTCGCACAATCGAAGCGCCTTCTCGCCGACATATATATATACTCGTACATATAAGTATAATACCTATGTCATAAATTAAGGACATATATCAACCAATAGACGAGAATTTAAATGAAGCAAGAAGTATTAATGGCTTATAATAATTATTACACACCTATTAACAGTTCTTACTTCATTCAAATTCTTGTTCATTCAATATATTTTATCAATTTTGCATTCAAAATGCTATACTGAAAAATATTCTTAATGAAAAATTAATATTGAAAAATCATTTGTTAAAAATATTTGCTTACGTATGTAATTATTTTTACTCGGTTACAGATACAGGTGTTGCACTCGTATATTCGAGTACGTCGAGTAGAAGCAGTTACTTGAGTAAAATATATGTTTAAAAAATTTAACATGAATTTGAATGAAGAAAGAACACTCAACAGTTACAATACTATTATTAATAGCTATTGACAGTTTTACTTCATTCAAGTTGTTGTCTATTGGTTAAAAATATGTGCTTATGTTATTATTTATACTCAAGTAATTACTTCTACTCGATTATAGACACGAGTATTAAACTCTGTGATTGAAGACGATTTACGAGCCACGAACTGCCCCCTGGATTTTGCAAGTGTAAACCATAACCTTGTCCACTTGATTTTGAGGTTCGAACTTTTAGCCGACATATTAGATTAGCAGAGTTAATAATAACTCTTGAAATGATGAACTAAATTGATAAATAATGAAGGAGATAACATCGTTTTTGTAAATACATTATTAACATTATTTATTAGTTTGCCATTTATAACGATGAAGCTATCTAAAGGGTATACTCGTATATGATTGAGGTCATAATATGATATCACGTCAACATTGCTCAGGATACATAAAGATAGGGGAGTATACTATGAATATCCATTTTCTCCTCACATTACAGTCCTTTTACTGTAGTCCTATAAATTGGTTAAATATCTACTAAAACTTTAGCAATCGTAATGATATAAATTAGGTAATTAAAATATTCTGCCCGACAAGTGATAGGTTTCAATTATTTTTCACGTATGTATTTTTTTCAATATTTAAACATATATCTTTGATTGCCTAATCAGAATCACGTACTCTCAGATTTAAGAGTGATAAGTATAGTTTAATTTTGTTTCTATAAACGTGTGATTGTATATTGTAGGTATGGTTTACTATCTTGAGCAGTATAATTTACAACATGTATGATATGTTATAGATTATAAGTAGACTAGCTTTCCGCCAGCGGCTTCGCCCGAGTGATCTTGTATTATACATAAAAACCTTCCTTTTGAATCACTCTATCTATGATAAAAAAAAACCGCATCAAAATTCGTTGCGTAGTTTTAAAGATTTTGTTTTATAGAAAGCGACTTTGTTTTATACTATGTAGTGATGGTGACAAATGAATATCGGCAATAACAAATAGTTATAAAGCTCGATTTTAAACTCTGTTACCACTAAACAAGCTCGATGTATGTCAGCGCCGTTTCCCATTTGTCGGGTATCGGATCATTGAACTTATCGGATACGTATTTTAATAAGATGTCAACGCTTCTATTAAATCTGTTGTACGTCGGCTCGTGAATAACTTTATATAAAATGTTTTGCCGCGATCAATGAGAACGTTGTATTAAAAAGTAGACGCTCTGGTGTAACCCTTGCAACTGAACACAATTGTAAGTATAACGATCAGTCTAGTCATTTTTAATAAGCACCTTTGACAAATTACTTTAATGAACTTTATGCGGAGTTTTCAACATTCCAACTATCCATTACTTTTAGATCACAGAATCCTACCCGTTGACATATGTATAAAGCTCTACGTTACCTATTCATAAATATAAGAGAGTCAGGTTGCCAGTGTCCATTTGTTAGTTATTATCCCTTACCAATACTGTCCTGGTACGCTGCTGGAATCCGATGCCGCAGCTAACACTACAGTGACTCCACTCGCTCCAGGCACTCATCTGACAGTCGCCCGCTCGTGCTTCACCCCGATCTGATATTAAAATTAGGTATAAGTAAAAAATTATCCATTATTTTTTCTTCCATGCAATAAAGTTACTCGAGCAAATAGGCATTAGCAGTTTGTTATTCAAACGAATAGGTATTATCAGTTTGTAATTCAAATTTCAGACTTGTCCCCTAGCCAAGAAAGTACCACCCCTAAGAACTTTGAAGACATATTCTTTGTGGAAGTTCAGAATACGCTCTACCCGTACTTAAACTAAAACGTGATTGAGACAAGTGAACATCCATAATTTCCAATTCTTATGAATGATTACGTTGAATATTGATTGATACAAAACGTTAGCAAGTTCCACTATTGCCTCATAAAAATTAAAACAGACAGACGACATTGGGCTACTACAGCTGCACTATTACAATTTAGTTGCTTTAACAACCAAATAACTACACCACAACTGTGCTATACCCGTGCAGTTCAAACGTAACGTAAAACTCAATATAATGGAGTAGTATTCTAACCGTAAATATAAATATATTATTAACCAAATATTGAAGAAGATTCATGAACATTTGTGAGAACGTAGTCATCGCAATATTTACATTTATATATGTATATTTTGTAGGGTACAACACTAAAAACATTTAGAAACGTTTTGTCAAGTTTAACAAATTAAATATAGGTATTACAACTGGTTTAATGAGTTTAAACGTGGTCGCACTAATCTCACTGATGATTTACGTGAGGGACGGCCTTCTACGGCGACGACTGAAGATAACATCTGTGTTGTGCGGCGTATGATAGAGACTGACAAAAGAGTGACCTATCAACAGATTCGGACAAGCTTAGGCATCGGTATGAGTCAAGTGCACAAAATCCTCCACGAACATTTAGCGGTCAGGAAGCTTTGCGCCCGGTGGATACCTCATAATTTGACTGAGGCTCAAAAACTCCATCGTGTGGATTGGTGTCGTAAAATGATTGAAAGATTTAACGGAGGTGACTCAAATGCTGTGTTCGACATACTAACAGGTGACGAAAGCTGGATTTACTGTTATGATCCTAAAACCAAATGACAATCTGCTCAGTGGGTGTTTCCTTTCGAGGAGTTGCCAACTAAAGTGAAGAGAGATCGAAGTGCGGGAAAAAAAATGGTAGCCTCGTTCTTTGGAAGAATAGGTCATTTTGCAACAATTGTGTTAGAGGATCAAAAAACAGTTTCTGCAGAATGGTACACTACCAATTGTTTGCCACTTGTCTTGGAAAAAGTTCGAGAGAAACGACCTCGCAGTAGGATCCTCCTTCACCACGACAACGCCTCGTCGCACACCGCCAAGCGAACGATCGACTATTTGGCGACATCAAACGTTGAATTACTGGGTCACCCGCCGTATAGCCCCGACCTCGCGCCTTGTGATTTTTATTTATTTCCAAAAATTAAAGAAAATTTGAATTTGAATTTGAAAAACTTAAAGGAAAGCGGTTTATGAATGCTGAAGAAGCGGTGGCTGCGTATCGCGATGCCATTGAAGAGACCCCTAAGGACGAGTGGGCAAAGTGCTTTTCCCAGTGGTTCCATCGCATGCAGCGGTGTATTGACGTGAATGGACAATATTTTGAAAAGATATAATAAAACTAATAACTGGCTAATGTATTCAGTTTTTGATTTTCTAAGAACTTTCAGTTTGACCCTCGTATATTACCAAATGTGCAATCACAACTGTCGGTATCCTACCTATACATTTAAAAATAATTGTACCAATAACTAAAACCCATTGCATTCTTAACATACTCACCACCATGACTTATTTATAATTATAACACAAATTAGTTAAAATGTAACATATTTGTTACATAAATGACGAAATTACTAATGACATTGTGCTCGAAAATGCTTTTGAGTTACTTTGATCGTACAAAATACTAAATTGTAACTATTCCTACGTCATGCGTCATTAAATGACGTTAGTGAAAATTTAAGATCTCTGGAGTCTTGATGTGTTGTTTGCTTGGACAATGGCCATTGTTCATGCAACACATAAAATTCGATACACATAATATTCAACATTAATCTAATACAAACTTGTGCATGTGCGTGCCTTGTTATTTGTGTTTATTTTTAGGTCGTGGAATAATCATTTTTACGACATTATGATTCCCCTCGATGAGATCCAACAATACATAGATCTTTAAAAATACTCGTAACAGACCTACAATGAATCGGAACCTAAATTTAGTTGTCTATACTAATATTATAGAAAGAGAAAGAGAGAGTAGACATTAGTTTTTTTATGAAAACAATGCCAAGTGTCGTTAAATACTAACCGGAATTGTTGCCAGAAGAAGAATTAACGCTAAACGTGGGGTCTTGAACCAATCCTGGTCCACCCACACCGCCTGGACCCGCCCCACCTGTAAGGGAGTACTTGAGAAGTGATTGCATTTTTTTTATATATACATAAAAATAGTAATATGATATTAAAAGCATTCAATTTGGTTAATTTTTATGATTTTAAGATGGTGGTGCTTTTTTTTTGTTCATCATCATAAATCTGTTCTACTACAATAGTGCTATAAAAATAATGTGAGTGTTTAAACTGGTAGGGTCAAGTAAGCAACGCAACAGGTAAAAAGATCAAGGTATTACTAAATTGTCAAAGTGTATATTTTGATGTTCATAGATGTCATGAAGCAGTTTAAGCAATAGCAAAGCAACATTCGCGTTAATGTACAAGACCTCTTTTGTTTTCGAATGGGTACTAGGTCTTTACATAGTGAATGAATTGAGTGGGCACGTTTATTGGCTACGAGCCAAACAACTTGGCGTATTTCACTGATACTTGCTCGTTTTAATGATGCTTGTCGATATACGTTTGGTTGATCCAATCTGTTATTAACAAAATGCTGGCTATATTATTAATCATAGCTAGGAGTTCTATCACGCGATTAAAACATGCAACACACGATGAGGATCTAGATAGGATCATGTTTAAATAAGTAGGTAGTTTATATTTGGAATATCTGTTAAATAAATGAACTTTGTACATTATTTCAACGATCTTAATGTAGAGATACGTGTGCGCTACTTGAGAGTAATCGATTTAAAACACCTCACCAAATTAAAAAATATAATCTTAACTATTAATTAATCATAGAATCTTGACTATTAATTAGAAATTGAGCATTAAAAATTCCATAAAGTACCATTTAAAATTATTAAAATACATATTAACATACATGACATTTAAATTTATTTAAATCGTGTTGTCTAAGATATGGAAAATACTTTTGTGAAAAATCAGAATATGGCACTTAATATACATTGGCTTCCAAACGCTTAACCTAGCTGGGATCAGGTAAACCATGAGAATAAAAACTCTTCGAATTGCAATGAGTTTCTTCTTTAATTTATAAACTACTTACTTACTTTACTGTAATCAACAAACAATACTATGATAACACAGATAAACAAGTCAAAGTATCTCAAAAAAAGATATATTTTCGAATTCATATAAAATTCTTCTTTAAGTAAACTAATAGTGTACTATACAATCAAATGCTTGAACAGAAGGTACATGTGACCGTCTATTAAGCACTCATAGCTAGATGTTGTGTGTTCATTCGTCTTTGTTTAAATTTAGTTGCATAATAAGTTTTTATTAATGCTCTTATAAATAATATTTCCATACATAAAAATCAACTGTTCAAAACAGAGTTCCTTGCCTAAATAATTAAATTTATTATTTACATAATTGGTCGACTGGCCCATATACACGTGATATGATCATATAACTAACATATTTCCGAAAAAGACTATAACAGTAACACACTTTCGAGTGAGTGGGATCGTAAAGTCTGTGTTTACACGTCCTTCAAACTCAGCACGCTATCGATGACAGGCAAACTGATAACGCTCCTTTACTGAATTTACACATCACTACCTACTGTCTATGTGTAATTTGCATGCTAATGACTATATTACTCTAAACGCAACTCTTAAAATATTATATTTTACATCTTAGTTCAAAAAATATATACACTACCTATTTGACATTTTGACAAGTCTTGTAATTGAAGTAACATGATAATGACCAGCTGTAGGAGAAAGGTTCTTTGAATATTTATTATATTATTACCGACTTGCCGTTGACTCCTTAATCACATTTTGATTGATGGATTGATCTAATTAATGGGGTTTTGGTAACCGTCTTGTGTTTCCCAGCTATCATTAAACCAGAATGAGATTCGAATAATAATTAAAATATTCATAATTATATTAAGTAACTTGTAACAAAATTATCGATATTTTTTATTTTTCTTCAAATGGATATACCTATGTATGACTTCCAATTCGGCGGGATCCTGGTATTGGTGGGATCTCGCATATAGAAAATATTAATATTTCTATAAGAACTCTATTTTTATTAAAGTTTTATTATTATCATGCGATGAATCAAATTAGACCATTTATTTATCACTGAAAACTGGAATAAATATCGAAAAACAAAAAATCTTTCAAGTACATAATATATTACTACTGAATTAAAATATAAGCCAAAAACATTTGGCAAATGACACATTATGACTTTAATTATTTCATCATATCAACCGCTGCTGGGCATAGGCCTCCCCCAAAGATTTCCAACGTGATCGGTCCTGCGCCTCCCGCAACCAGCGGCAAAGAGTAATTATTTAGTTTGGTAATATTTACCGTCACTGCGCCGTCATACACTTTACTCTTTCATAACTTTACTCGTATATAGGAACTTTCTAGCAAGTTCAATTCTAGCAACCTAGTCGATTCAATCGAAGTATTACTGAAATAATATTAATTATTATTGAGACTTGTTTATCTCTATAGAAATAGAATCTCTAAAGAAAGAACGAGCCATAACCCAACATGCTGGCCCAATGCGGAATGGTGGGTTACATTTATATCTTCGCCATGTTTTTTGTGACATATTAATATTATTACATTGAAACAAAAGATAGTGAGGTGTCTACAACTTTATTGACTAACAAGGAGTACTAGGTGCCTAGTTTACATATATCTAGAACAGTGACTCACCAAGGATGACGCTGCAAGTATCTAGGCATTCCTGCTGGGTGACAAAGTTATTCTGGTTCCCACGACATCCACCGTAGGTGAAGGGCACACACATCCCCTTCATGGCCACAAAAGCCCAACGCTGGTATACACCACGACATGGGCCCGGCTCTGGCGCCTCCATGCAGATACCTATGTATGTTGGAATTAAGTCTTCAATGTGTAATTAGCATGTGAAATGACTCTTTGTTTGTCCCAACCAAAGTAAAAGAGCTCAACTGTTACTGCTTCCTTAATCTTTCTCAAACACGAAAAAAATATGGTAAAAACTGACTTTTAATATTAATCAGGATTCCGAGCCCTTCTTGCAGAATACCGGGTACATCCATCCACGTGAGGTGAGAACTGTGTGTTTTAGCAAATAGTTCAACCGTATCCAATCTGTCTTTTTCAGGATATGTGTGACTCTCCAGCCCTAGTTAGAGACTTTATATGCATTTTCCCAGCGTAAACAAAAAAGGTTTCCGAGCCCTGATTTTTAGCGAGTAAAGAAAATAACCAACGTTTAGCGGTGAGCATGTCGATACTGCAGTCCTTGCGTAGAGTACACGGTCGGTGCTGCAACAGCTGCACCCTGTCCGCGCAGGACAGCTGCAGCTCAGGCGCTACCAGCAGCAGGCGGCTGCGGAACGTGACGCCAGCCCCGCACGATGCCGAGCATGCTGACCACGCCGTCCACGCCGTAGTCGGACACGTAGGGTCCGATGCTGAGCTGTCGTCTTCCGGACACGGACCCTCCATGCATTTGCGGTTCTCCTCTGATAATACAGAGAACAAGTTTACTTATCTGTAAAATCTTTATTATGTTGTAATCAAAACTGCGTTCAAAGCTATATTTCTAACAGTGAAGATTTGATATATTTTAAAACAATTGAATTTCGTTCATAAAATAATTTTAAATAACATTTACAATATTTAAAAAAATGTAATTATCGATCTAGGTATTCCGGATTGATACCGCTACTAGCTCTTTTCCTTAATTAAAAAACAGACTACGTGTGAAAGACTGAGATGAGAGAAAAGTGGTCTGAGTACGGCCTATTTCCTATAATATCTATGTCGTATTAATGCAGTTACCTATTTTGACCAGTGGACATTTCTTGAAGCCCATGCGATGTAAGAAATGTCTCCTTCGGACGGACACACCGGCACCGCAGGTAACGGAGCACTCGCCCCAATCTTCCCATTCAGACACGGCGCACACACCCGATACATCAGATACTTCAGCACCGGTTAGATCGGTATCGTCATTTACGTTATTGTCTCTGGAAGTAGAATACACAATAAGCTTTAATGTTAAAAGAGAATACGTTTTATAGATTGTCCAAACTACAGATATATTCAATGATTTGGATTTCAGTATATACCTAGTCCTGCCATAAATACTGTTACAAATGAAAATGGACTATATTTTTTTTCTTTACTTTTATATAAATGTAAGTGTTATGTACACAAGAAAAATACTCTAAACAATTGTTTTACATAAAATTTTATTCAAAGTGAACACCCTTAGCTTTAACACAAGCTTTAAACGTACCGGCCAGTCGTCAATACTTTTATGTACGACATCCATAGGGAAGTTGGCCACTGCTCGCTCCAGAGATCTCTTGAGAGATTCCAAATTGTGGTGTCTCTTAGAACAGGCAATGTCCTCTAAGACAGACCACAATTTGTAATCTAATGGGTTCGGGTCTGGACTGGAGGAGGGCCAATCATCGGCTTTGATAAAGTCGGGAACATTATCCGCGAGTCAAGCATGGGTGGTGCGTGCCTTGTGACCGGAAGCCGAGTCTTGTTGGAACGTCCAGGGAATATTAGGAAAGAGTGTGTCGCCTAAAGGTTTCACTACGTCATGTAGGGTGGTTTCTTGGTACACCTTGGCAGAAGTTTTCACACCCTTTTCACAGAAATGAAGCTTGGTAACGCCGTGGTAGGACACCCCCCACCAAACCATCACTGACGCGGGGTGGTGGCCTCTATGGACTCATTCTACTTTGGACGCTTCTTAGAATTATGGGCGTAAACACGGTCATTTTGCTTGTTGAAATGTTCTTCAATTGTGAAAATTTTCTCGTCAGTAAACAAAATGTTCCTGTGCTTTCCACCTGCCTAACGATCGAGCAACTGTTTTGATCTTTCGACCCTTTTCATCATTAAAGCTCGATTGAGGGTATGTCCGGTATATCGACGGTAAGCGCCGATTTTTAGGTCATCTTTAATTATTCGGGACAGAGTCCTAGGCTTGGTCTTCATTCACGGGATAAAATCTTCTGCTTTTTCAAGGGATTTCGTCGAATTCTGGCTCGGACTGCGTTGACATCCTGTGTGGTTCGAGCAGTAGGCCGACGGCCTGATTTCTTGTGGTCATCATTAGAGGAGATCTCTACGAACCTATTGATGGTACGATATACAAACATCCGACTGATACCTAGCTTCTGAAGGATCTTATAAATCACGGAAGGCTCCATTCCCACTTAATGCAGTGCAATAACAGCGATTCTATCTTCTTTAACACCCCACTCCATTTTAAAATATTTAATTTATGACAAAAACCTTGTTGTTTTACAAAGAGTAACCCTTAATAAATAAAATGGCATTGCAGCGTTCCAAATTCGAAATTTAATAAAAAATGAAAATTTTTACTTTTAAAATTGTAACAGAATTTATGGCCAGACTAGGTATGAATAGATTATAGGATAAAATAATGGCGAAACTGGTAAGTAAAAAAAACCCTCCAAAGGTTTCCCAAAGGGCTTATGATATTGAATTACACGAAAATATTCATAATTGTATATTAAAGACAAATTTGGCAACTGGAAGACATTAATATACTAACGGTGGGCATTCAGGAACTGTCGCGACGCACATTTCCTTGGCTACTAACTGTCGATCGCAAGCGAACATGGTAGCCTTCTGCGGCATGATGTACTGTCTATTGCGCATACGCAACCCCTTACCACACGACACAGAGCACGCCGACCACTCACTCCACGCGCCAACCGCACACTCCGCTGCAGGACAATAGTTATATTAAAACGGAGAAAAAAGTAGCTTTTGCTGAATTAACTGCCGGTTATTCTTAGTATAGGGTCTCCCGACGTAGATTTGCAAACTGGGATAGCTTTCGACATTCACAAGCGCTTGTAACAGCCAGATATGTAATATTGAATTTTAATTACTTATGAATGTTACGGTAATGATTGCATTGCCGTGATAAATATAGTTTTTATTGTCCACCTCCTGAATGTCCACACTCACGTTTGACTGCTGACTCTGTGTTGTCAGTCTCCTCGATAACCAGAGACTGCAAGGTCTCTTCGTCGCAGGACTTGGAGATGAGCTTTTCCCTGGTGAGGTAGAGTCGCGCCATGGGAGGTACTTCTGTAGCTCCAGGGTTGTAGAAGGGCGCTCGAGGGTCTTCAGGATACATGGGTGTGATGCGGTACATACGCTCGCGAGGCACAGTCTCGGCATTCGGCGACTGGTGATCAATATAAATTAGTTTACCACAATATTTGTTTATAGTATCGCTTCAAATCATATAAGAAGGAGGTTACAGTGGAACAATACACTGTACTATAGTGGTGATTCTATTTTTTTGTGGCGGTTATGTTTATGTTTTCTACTTTACATATTGACTCATTGTGTAGCCACAGACAATAATACTATTAGAGGTAACACGTTACAAAAAATTGTGCTTTATTTCGTTATTAATGTGTTGTACTTGTAACTTTTGTTTAATATAGCTTTATTAACCAACCGTGACATTCATATATATTATATCGTTGTTAAAATTAAGAAAACAGGTTGAAACCTTATTTTTAAATATAGAAATAAAACGTGATACCTATATAATGAATATAATAAAGATTATTTTTATATTAATAATGTGGTACTGACCATGTATGAAATACCGTTATCAGTGCCTGCGTCGTACGGATAGAGATCGACCACCTTGGACTCGACCCAGGTGCAATCCTTCTGACATAACTCCAAACCGCTGACACCAACCACCCAGTCCGGAGAGGGACCTGAACACAATCATATCCTTTCAAAATTTTGATACTTTTTCATTTTGTCTAATCTATATAATATTAGTCACATTCTAACAGCTTTTTCGCATTTGACTAATGATCAGTACACAAATATCCCACTTAAAAGCTTTTTGTGCATTAATCCGCAAATCCATAAAGACTAAAGTTTCAAAAGACGCTCAGTAGTACTCGTTTTGGTAGAACCAAATCAATCTTTGATCGAAGTCAAAGCTTCTTAATAATCTGTTATATTCGAGTAAACGATTGGACAAAAAAAATATATGTGTGATTCTAAGATTTTTAGGTAACATATCGGAATATAACACGCAAAGAATAGCGACTCATACCAAACATAGAAGCCAATGAAAGCAAGTGTCGTTTCCTATCGACAGTGAAGAGAGCACTGGTGTTGTGGTTAAGTCGCGGGTGCCATAAACCAGGTGCCTTCACTATGGCGCGCAGTTGACGCGCTTGTTGACGTAGCTCGCGCTCCTGCAGCTCCACCGAACCCCATTCCGCCAAAGACCTTACATCCGTTACATCGATCATAAATTACACTACAAGAAACTATTTATTTAAAAGCTTAATTAAAAACCTGCTCTGGAAATGTCTCCCAGAGCGAGAGAGTTTGTATTGGTTTAGTACTCGAATATGAACATATACACTGTACTTAGCTTTTCAACATAAAGGACGTAAATAACGTATATGGATAAAAGTGATGTGAAAATGTCGAAAAGGCTTTATTATAATCGGTCTCTACTCCTCACCGGAATCCATCGGTAGCAATCTGTCCCTCGCCCCAAAAGGAAAAGTCATCTGCGTGTGTAGCACCGATTACGTCCGAAAAGTGCGTGAGCCACATAGCTTGCGTCGGAAAGTCTTTCGGATGTGTCTCCGGCGACCACAGCCCTTGGAACACCATCTGTCATAAATTATGTCAATGATTTGTCAATCAATATCTCTGATATAATCGTTTGTATCACGTTATACTGAGAAATTAAATATAAATATAGTAGGAGATTAATTTACCCTGTACTTGGCATCGTCACAGGCACAGCAACGTGGGGCAGAAGCGGAGGTGTCTTCACACACGCGCCGCGTCAATTGACCATCCTCCGCGAACCACCGACTTTCGTTCTCATACACCATTGCCCTGTCAATCGAATTTCATGACAATCGAACTGTCTACTCAAGACTTCACTCTTAACCCAGCAAATATTTTTAATCTATCATCTGGAGGTAGTAGAAATTATGTACATTTTCGAAGAAACATTAAGTTCAAAACTTAACTCACTTGAGCAATACACAGCCTGAGCCGGAGGGCGGCGCCTTCCACATGACCTGGACCTCGGTCTTAGGCAAGTCGTCAGCCTCCACCACAGAATTGACGCATTCCTCATCGAAAGAGGTCAATGTATCAGCAAACAACTGAAACTGTCCTAAGCGGCTGGCTGACCGCACCTCACCGCCGCCCTGAGGTTCCAATGTCAGCTTAAATCTAGTGAACTGCTGCACCACATCGTGCGTCCGGGATCCCACCAGCGTTACTAACAATAAAAAATAGACTTGTATAGAAATAACTGTAATAATCTACTGTATCAGATCACCAGACATAAATAAGTACATAAAATATCAAAATTTCACGCATTTTTTTGTATATATAACTTGTGTCTATAAAAAAGCATCACTTTCTGTCTACTAAAACAAGAAAGGGATCTAACTTGCTGCTTTAAAGAAGGTACTGTCACGTAATAAAGCGCATTATTTTTGACCGCTACTGTGATAAAAACCCAACTGAAATAGCTTCATATGAAATCATTCCATTCTGGCTGTATCTGGCTGGACACTAATCCCAACTAGCAAAAAGATCCTATAAACAATCACTCTTATGACTTAAGATCGAAAAACAATCGTATGAGAGATCCCATTATACCAAATAGTTGTATAAAAGCAGCTCTCTTGATTATTTATCTTTATAACCCAACTTCTAGCTTTATAAAAATGTTGATTAAACGTGGACTCGATGAGCTCATATCGCATTTACTCGATATTTGTATAAAGGTATATCATGATCGCCTTCATTCAACGGTAAGTCTTATGATAACTCTTTAAAAGCTACTGAATTGCTTATTTGTCATCAAACTAGCTTTTATAAAACTATTTTTCCTCATTTTATTTTTGCAACATTATTGTAGAGTAAAAACTGTTTAATAGACAAAATAGCATTTCAGTTACTATATCTGCCCTGCGATTCTGTAAAAATCCAGACCCGAATTCGAATTCACTATTGTGTCCGAATTCACGTCATTTAGTGAAGAAATGCTATTTATTCCATTTTTTGTATGAAAAAACAAAACAAATTAATAACAAAACAACGTGTCTCAGATATTTTATTCCTATGCCATTTCGAAACTCACTTCACTTATGCCACGAAACATTATTACCAATTCAAGATTGAACTAATGGCGATTTTTGAAGTGAAAACGGACTCCTGAGTGAATTCAGGGCATTACTTAAAGTCATGTGATACCTTCTTACTCAGCTTTCATTCTACTTAACTATTGATGTTGAGTAAAAGCTTTTAAATTTACCCTCATAGCTTTAAAGGTTCTCTAAACATTGTTTGAATGCCATTATTTAGCGTAAAAGGTTCTCTAAACATTGTTTGAATGCCATTATTTGGCGTAATAGTGGTATAAAAATGAAATAAATTCTTTAACAGCACTGTTTTTTTGGATCGCTGTACAAAACAATCATATTGCTTATTCTTGCAAAAATTGACTATAAAAGGTGAAAATAAATTAAGAGAGGTGGAGGTTTTAGACGAAAAGTAAGAATTCTTGCTTACTTTATAAGCACAATTGAAACAATCAACAATTACATGCATGCAACCACGGGTGAAGAACAATCAAATAATATTAGTATGGGTTCCGTAGAAAATATTAACGTTACAATTGATGATTAAATTGATGAACCGTCAAGTAGTGAAGTATTTTCTCGTTCCGAAAACATCTCCGCTGGTATAAACTCGGATCCAGACATTAATTTAGACAGCAGTAATAATAAAAATGACAATAATACAATGAGACAAGACAACAGTTCGGAGTTGGAAGACGATGAATATATAAATTATGAGTTTTGGGCAAATATTATAGAATGAGCACTCCAATTCAATATTCCGCATGATGCCTTACGAAAATTGTCAACAATATTTTATTTAATAAAAAAAAATTCCATATTTGCTGCCGAAAGATCCTCGTACTATTTTGAAAACGAATACATCAAAGATTATTGCTGTTATATTAAAAAATATTTGCTGTTGACTCTGGATTATACTGGCATAACGGATTAAAAAAAAACTTTACAATTGTTTACAATGTTTTCAAATTTTGATGTTTTCAGTGTGGTTCTTAACATTGACGGCCTGCCACTATAACTATAATAGCTCAAAACTTGAATTTTAACATTTATTGTGTAAAATACAAGACATACCGACACTTTCGCCACTAGTTATCGGAATCTATGCAGATCAAGAAAAACCATCGGAATTAGAAAAATATTTTGAACACTTTCTTTCTCCAAATTAGGTACATATTTTTGCTACAAAGATACCATGAAATGCTCGAGATTCATCAATGTTAAAGTGGTCACCAGACGCACGTCCCGCCCGTACGTTGTTTTCTGCCTTATTGAAAAATATGTTTCCTTCCAAGGCCATTTCGATTCTTAAGTCTGTTTAAGATCATCCTTTGTTATGAATTTATCTACATCCAAATAGACTACCATTCTGTTATCACTTACAAAAAAAACAACTTAATTAACAAAAAGGGACTCTCCTACAAAAAGGACTACTTAATTAACTATAATTGTAACTATAAGGTTGTACTTATGAACTTACAAAATATCTACTTAGTATTTAGTATTAATATTAGACCGTTTGTTTAAAAAAGTCACTGATATACTCGTATATCAGTTATTTATCATTAACAATCACTTCACATACATATATTTTTTGTATTTAGTAGCTAGTCATGACGTATCAATTCTCTTATTATATTTATATTATTTGTTTATATATTAATTACTCAGAAATCTTGTGGCCCATGAAAGTAGTATTCGAAATGTAATATGTTAAACGAAAAATTTAATTCCCAACCTTTCACACGATCAAAGATTCGAGTGTTTGCAACTCCACTACTTTATTACGATAAATAGGTCGACTTAAAGAGTTTAAACAGACTTAGGAAAAGCTGAATGACATCTAATATAAGACTTTTAATATTCAAAACGCTATTACTTTATATTCTTTTGAGTTTTTCGATATTCAGCCGATTATCTTACGACATTTACAGCATTCATAGCTGAAAGAAGTGCGCCCAAATCGCGTAGAGTTAACGTGCACAGATCATTTATACGACATATTAAAGATTCTTCACTCCACCAATATATGAAATAGAAACGTGCTGCTGACTTTTGTACGATAATATTTGTTAGTTGGGTTATTTGCGACATATATTAGTTGGCTTTAGATTATCAACAGTAGCCTCCCTTATTAAGCAACAGTACCTTAAATTATAAATAGTAAGATAAAAGTCTGATGTGTATGACATTTGCAAACAATTACTAACTTAGATGAGTGGGGTTGGATTAGGGAATTTGGAAATAAACACATAAACTCCCTGACCTCGATTGACACTGCGGTGGCAAAACATTACAGTACACATCAGTGACCTACTATTATTATCAATGGTACGCTTGCATATGGAAATCAATAAAGTAGGAACATATTAACTGTAATAGACAATATAGGTCAGATTGTGTTATTTAAGGGATATAAGTCCAAAACTCAGAATCATTCTTACCCGTTTTACTTAGGAACTTAGGAGTTTAACTTAAAAGGTACCTAAAGTCCGCCAAATTATCACATTGACAACAATTGTTAGTCTTATAAGTGTACATGCAGTACGCGACAGATAATCCCTTGAACTATAGATTCACGAGATCTCTAAATAAATACAAACTTTTTACAATTAATACAGTCTAACGAGTTATAGAATTTATCGGTAACTAGTAGATTTCAATATCATCAACAACTAGAATATATCTTTAATATTAACTATAATAAAAGCTAATATTAGGTAATCACTAATCACTAATTGCAATTAAGTTTAAGTTCGTTGTTATTTACATAATAGAAAACACATTGTATTAACTTTCTGCGTATTCAAGCTTCCAGGAATTATGTCAGTGATATTATAATTCAGCCAAACTCACTTCCATTTTCATATCACAAAACTTCAACAACTATAACATGTAGAACATGAATTTTATCTAAATAATTTGACCTGCTATTAGAGGAATGGGAAAACACAATATGAAATATTTAATAGTTTAAAAACTAATGCAGGTGCTAATGATGATGGCCTAGAATGTTTTCCCGGAAACTAATCTTGTGATGTAGACATCTAATAGGAATAGAAAATATTTTATCGAGATTCACTCACAAAAATGTAAAAGACAATAATGATTTTACAAGTAAGTATCTAATATAAAAACACTGTGTGTATGAACAATTAAGTAGGTTTCTGTCTCAGCTAATGCTGTTACTATGCAAAACTTAGTCCATCAGAGTAACGACGGGTATTCTGACAGGGTTTATGGTGTGGTGTTGTCAAGTGTTTTTGTGTTTTTGTATAAATGAATATCTAGAGTATCTGTGTAAACTAAACTATAGCAGTCTTCTTAACATTTGACTTTCATAAGTGCTTGAAATGTATTCAGTCTATTCAATTCATTTATTCAATTTGTACAAGATATAATATAGACTGAATAAATTATATAGAATTTATATTTATTTTTAACTTTAAAATGCAAAAGAAAGAGGTTCTTTGTACGGCCCTGCGGTGGTCTCTCAAAAATGTCTTTTTGTATCTCTAGCCGAATAATTTCTTTATCCTAATAGTTTTGTTTTTAATAATCCTGAAAGCGTTTACCTAAATAAGAATAATTCTTAGACGACATATTTACGTCGATCGCGTATCATACTTGTTTATGATTTTTGAATGAAAACAATAATAATAGCTGTTCATATGTTCTAGAAAATTCTATTTAAGGTGTCGTGAACAACTTCCACAAAATCTCCGCCCGCTCCTACACTAACTACAAGTACTTTATCGTTTGACTGACCGACATATCTCTGTCCGGGTAGATATCGCTCGACTTCACCGTTGATCAGTAACCTGTAGAAGTTATCCCCAGGGGACTTTGCTCCTGCACGCCCCGTTGGCTCCAGGGGGCATGTCGACACCACCGCCAGAACGGCGCACACTACCAACCACTGCATTACCATACCTAATTATGCATCTGAAACTAATATTATCATCATTAACTAATTAATATAATTGAATATGTATTAGACAACATAATAAACATTGCTCAGATTCCAAGATAAGTAGCTAAGCCCTTCTATTATGGAGTAACTGAGCCAACGAAGGCACCGCAATCTAGACCAACCCGAGAAAATACCAAAAAGTTCATTTTCGACATTAACCAGACCTTGAAACCGGCGTGCGAGTCATTTGGCTGCAGGTAAATAAATTTAAATAGACCTTTAAATCAAATTTAAAGAAAAAATCTTATCAATAACTCGTTAGCTAAGCAAGAAAGCTAGTTATTAAGAAATTCAAGATACTTCTTTGGACGACTCATAGGGATATATTAATACTGCAAGCATGACAATATTAATCTCGTACGACATTTTTTTATTATCATTTTGTAGCCGGTTTAAATTAAAAAAAGAACGAAACCTAAGATAATACATAGAAAAGAATCTGATTGACATGGTTCACTAGGTATATTAAAAATCTAGAATTCAGTAAGAAGTCACGAGAGAACTAGGTATGAATTAATACAGAAGCACGATGAAAGAAAATAATAAACTATTATATAAAAACGAGTCTCGAAGTATTTCAAAGGCTTTTACTCCTAATACAAAAATGTTTGTAATTGTAATTAATTTGAACCAATGTCTGCTGCATAGATCAAAATGAAACATTCAATAATAAAATTTCTACACATGAAAGAACGCACACTTAGGTAAATACAGATTACAATACTCATTAGTTTCTAGTACCGTTTCCTTTAATACCTAATCAATTATAAAGTCCGAATACGCAATAAAATAAAAAAAAAGAGTTAAATTACTCACTGCGATGTCGATGAGAGGAATGCAGGGCTGTGTATGATTATATCGATTGCGCGGACACCGACACACTGATAAGAGGTCAAATGTCGCGATCTACATAAGAATCAAAGAAAACAAACATTACATTTGTTTATTAATAATACAGTTTTAAACAAAATTACTAAAAATCTTAGTAATAATAGGTATGTTAATAATTTAACCGCTTAAAGCTCTTAAGCATCTTGAAAAGGGATGCATTTAGATATCAAAACAGGTTAAAAACCCATACCATTACCTTGTGTATTCTGTTCATAAGTTTCGAGACGTAATAAAAGTTGCGTAACATTTTTTATTAATATTTAATTTCTAAAATTTTTAGTAACCGATAAATAGACTATAATCCACAATAATATTTTATTGAAAATGACCGCCTTGTTTTTAATACAGGCTCTTAGACGATTTGGCCAGTCATCAATGGCCGCACGAATCTTTTCTAGCGCTTTGCTTCTCGAACTAAGTTTCGCTTCAGTAACTCCAAGTTTGGGCGGAACTTTTGGCAGGCTCTGAGCTCTAATTTAGTCCATAAAGAATAACCCAGGGGGTTGAGTTCGGGGCTAGATGAGGGCCACTCGTCCGCGGCGATGAAGGCCGACACATTCTCCCGCAACCAAGGTTTGTTGCTTTTTGCCTTATGGGATGGGCCCGAGTCTTACGTTAGTATCAGACAGGGGTTTCACCACGGGCTCTAAAATGTCACTCTGATAATTCTTGGCTGGCTTCCACTTTGTTGGCAGAAATGGAGCGGAGTGACATTTTCATACGAAATTCCCCACCATACCATCACACTAGCCGGATGATGAGTGTGCGAAACATTCCTAGCAGAAGCTGGAACATCCTTGCTACTTTTGGCGTACACTTTATTGTTTTGTCGGTTGAACCTTTCTTCGACAGTAAAAATTTACTCTTCGGTAAAGAGTATTTTCCTGGCATCATGTCTCCTCAGCAGCAATGGACAACGTTCACGTCGAAACTTACGAAGACGATCGTTTAAAAAGTGAACTCTTCTACGGCCAAAGGCCTTTACCTTAATATCATATTTCAGTAATCTGGTCACTGAAACGCGCAAAATATTAGTCTGCAGAACCTCGCTCTGAATGCGACATGAATTTCGGCAAAGTTGCTCTCGGATGATTTTCATGAAATTATTTAAAAAACTTAAGTCTTAAAAGATAATTATGCCAACATAAACTTTATCCCAAAAAACAATTACGGCAAAGTATCATTATGCCAAAACCAGTAAGGCCAACGTATACGTATATATAAACGTATACAAAAAAAGAAGGGATCTCAAAAGATTTTGTCCGCCTTCGCACTTCACGACACCCAAATTGGTCCTTTAAGTAATGTTGCTGACAGCGCCTCCGCACCAGGAACCACAATTGTTTCAATCAACTATTATTACAAAGATAATAATCTTATATTTAGGACAAGTTAACATATTATCATGTTATTATTATTTATTCAACCGTTTTCAAAGGTGGCATTTACTATTTTATTAGGTAAAATGTCATTTCATGTTTAGATAATACGTGTATTTAATGCATTAAAACTTACCCTATTCTTCTTAAAATTCTGATAATATCGACAATTTAACAATAACTTGTTAGACCACCAATAATCCTAAATAGTAACTTTGATGAGAAAAAGTGAGCTTACCTTCGTACATTAACAGCTGTCAACAGTAATTCACGCCGGTCAAGCGGTCGGGTGACGGCAGCACGTTATGAATGCAGCAGTCGATAGAGCAACGCGCGGCGCGTGCCCTCAGGACCAAAGTATCTACCCAACCGCACATTAGAATTACGTATACTTTTCAATATTGTGGTCGGCAACAATAATTATTTTTAAAATATATATCTATCTTAACATATTAGAAAGGAATATGTCACATCCAGATTCATACATCCTTTGTTTGTTTTTTATCAGTTTATAGCAAAAACTAGAATGTACAGACACAACATAGCTTGGCTACTATAATGACATGAAAACTGGAGCCTGCCTATACTGTTCCATTCGACTTATGCTATTTACCATCTTGCTGAAACTATAAACGCAAAAACGTTGGCCATGATTTTTTAGATATTACTCTACTATTCGAAACGACCTATCTCCAGTGAACAAGTGGAAATAAGCCGCTATCGCGTGCGAGCCGCCCACCACACAGACTACATCCTAGACTTGATGAGATACTTCCTCCTACGTAATTAATTCGGCAGTTTTTAAGATTCTTTCAATTTCAACATGTGTAGAGTCAGCTACTGACCTCTTGAATTAATGTACGAAGCGAAATACTATTGTTTTAGTAACAAAAATTTACATGAGCATTCATGAAATTGTTCGCACTTTCGCAGTTAGATATTTTTCAAAATAATAAATAATTGACTAATACAAATTGACGAATGTTTAAAGCAAGTTTAACTTGCTTCCCACTGGTTTAAAATGACCAAGTTAATTCAGATTTTTTTTTGTTCCAGGTAAATATTTTCAACGACCTGTGAGGGTTATTGAGCATTTACTTCGTGGTTAAAGTAACAGTTACTCGTTAATCCAGTCAAAGATCATTGCACGAATTTTCATAAAAATGCATTTAGTTTGTACTTAGCCTCTGCGTCTAAGTATACCTTGGGCTGGGGATTGCTTCCACTCTCAAATTGGATCCTAAAACTTACCATAAAAGATTTTTTTTTATGAAAGTCAATACAAGTGTAACTAACTCAACCTTATTCGTTGTTCCCATGTTTTCAGGCTGTTCGTAAATAACTCAAAAAGTAAGTCCTAGCAAGACATAATCGAAAATAATATCCCAAATAAAAATGTAGCTTATAATTTGTTTCTTTTATTTCTCTCATTACAAAAATAATGGAAACTAGTTTCTATATAAAAACGGTAATCTTCTTAACGGAACCTTTTATTTGATACCAACATTATGACAGCGTTCTAAGATGATTATTCCGCCACCTTGGGTGGCCCGCTATATATTAATAATAATTGTCAAGGTATAGTGAACTTAGAAAGAATAAAGTCATTATACCTATTTTTTATTAAACCTTTCCATTTGACACCCATATTTTAACCGCCGACATTTTGGGCCATCCGCCATGTTATAGTATAGGTAACCACAGACGGCCACCTCGAGAAGCTCGTTGGGACAGTGATTAGGACAGTTCGATTTGCAATGCGGAAGTTAAGCAACTTTCGCAAACGCCGGCCATGAAATAGGTGACCGACATTACTATCACGAGCTACACCGTGCTTCGGAAGGCATATTAATAATCAGTTGAATCATTGTAATTCTATCCCGAACATTGCTCCTTCGAGACGTATAAGTAATTTATCAATTACCTATAAGTAAAATTATGCGTCTAGAACAATAAGAAATGTACGACCTACTCGTAGATATTATTCAACCACGAAAAGGAGTGAAATCAGATTGAGGGCAATTCCCAGCTCCAATACAATTTAGAAGTAGAGGCTAAGTGAACCTTAATCGACTTTCTGCGGAAATCCTTGCTGCTTGGTAGAATTATACAACAGCAATTGACTGGGTTATTTAGTTACCTAGGTATAATCCACGACAGTAGATTAAATTAACTTCAAGTACCTGTGGCTTTATGGCATGACTGGCGTCGCAAAATTGGACGAGACATATTCAGCGACAACAGGTAATAAGGCCCAATTCTTTAATGAATATGTGCTGTTATATATAACCAAAAGCTTTGACGCTCTCACTATTAGCATTCAGCGTCATAAGGAAGCTCGAGTTTGCACTGCAAGCTATGGGGAGGGCTATGATCACGGTATCTCTACGAGATCGAATCCGAAATGAGAAGACAAGATCCTATAACGAACAAAGGTTACCTACCGACGACATAGCATTTAGAATTCCAAACTGAAGTGGAATTGGGCGGTGAGCAAAGCATAATGGCCAGAACTCACTAACAAGATGCACCTCGCTAACGTTCAAAGTGGAGGAATGGACGTGGCCTGCATATGTTCAACAGTGGATGTACTATGACCGAAATGAGTTTTACGGGAAAAGTACGCTGAAAATAACATTATACTATACTGAAAACCGTATCCAAATCGGTTCAGCCAAGCGCGAGATAATCGCGCACAAAAATACAGACGATTAAAAGCTGTCGGTTTTGGTCTTTGATGAAGGTACCATAATTATCCGGGCCTTCGGCGTGTCAACTTCTATAATTATTTATTTTTATTACCATTAACCAACATAAGTACGACAATTAAATGTGAGTAATTATAATCATACTTTAATTTATTCAAAAGTTACTCTTTTCTTGTGTTCAATTGAAACTGTTTTTATAAACCTATAAAAGCTACTCACTAACTACGCTAAATAAGTACCATTTCTATTAAAAAATCGGCCTAGTGCTAGTCGGGCTCGCGCACAGATTCCTTACCATTTATCAGTTTAAAAAAATCACGTTTGTTGTTTTATATGAAGTTATTCGAAATTTTCGAGTTAAATACAATTAGTCGACTATTCCTCGTAAGCTTGTGAAGCTAACTCGTGTATAAGTTTTCCTTATAACTTTATTGTAGGTATATACCTTTATATTCATTTTATCGGCGTAATTAAAGTAAATACTCATGCCAAGATTTCGTTTATTTGTCGTAATCTTTAAAAATGTGAATAATTTAAAAGACAAGTGTCTTTTTATTAGTATAAAATGGAGGACTGTAGTGAGAACAAACAATGCAACATAATGCTTCAATATTTTATTCAGTCAAGTTATACAAATATCAATCTTTATGTTTTCCGTGTCAAGTCTAGACTAGATTACATCTTTACTTAGTAGTTAATATTTATAACATTATACATAGATAAAACACCATTTTGTTATACGAATGTGGAATATTATTATTATTGTTTAAATGAAGATTTCTTTAAATTAATATTTTTGTACGTCTATAATGAAAACAAAATAAATTTATATAATATAAACCACAAAATGTTAACTGATTTTAGACACTTAAGTCCGATAAAAAAAAAATTAAGCGTTTTTTTGTAAAACTACTATAATGTCGACTTCTTCTCTTACACAAAGGCATATAGCGCAAAATATACTTCATCTTCCATTCATATACTAAAAGATAAATCTCTCTACAAACTTCTTAAAACATGTTTCACCTCGCAACGGAACAGTAAGAGCTGTTAACCGCTTGTGCTAAACTCAGTTGTTAGTAACTTTGAAAAATATATTGAAAATTTTGGTGTTCACATGTCTATCAGGGGTGCGACCGCCTAACTCTCTGTAGCCTTGATTTTAACCATAGGATACGACATATCTTAGCGATGTTATGGCGATATTTCGTTTTAAGTTACTAGTTTTCCATGACTTTTGGAGGATAAATTTGGGATAAATTACTAAGTTGGTTACACTGCTATCAAATTCATAATCATCATTCTTTATCATTCGTTCGTTGTACATGTTAAAGCAGCAAAATAAAATGAAATTTCGCAATGTCATCGATAATATGTCTATTCTATGGCTAGAGAGTTGGCGGTCGCTCTACAGAGCAAAACAGGCGAACAAAAGAATTTCCTTTAAAACTTGCGAATGGATGACAACTGACATTAGAATTCTGACAATACAGCGCGTACATTTGTGCGATGGTGCATGTTTCATACAAAGAATCTAAAAAAATTCGATGCATTTTATTCTGACAGACGTGTTAGTGTTGAGTAAAAAAAATATTGCAAATACGCCAAAATATCGTAGTGCTACAATCATAACATCTACTATTTATTTATAATAAGACGTATTAATGCTGCTTCCTGTCTCCAGATGGCAACATAAGCAAGTCATGAGCAAAGAGAGTAAAGTAATAGTGAGCAAAGTAGGATTTAAATGTTTTTGAATTAAGATTGAATTAGAAAGTGTAATTTTATACAATAATATATCATTGCTGCATATCTGGTTATGAGAAAGAAGGAATCATTATTTTTAAAAGACATTATGTTCGAATAACTGTTATCTTTTACAGACAGACAATAGATAATGCCTACATCTAAAACGAATCTGTTATGTACGAAGTTGCTTAATATATTATAGGAAGCAACTATCCTTTAACATTAATGCTGTATGAACATGAACGACACAGTATACTATGTCATACAAAAGAGTTCACAAGGATAGTTGCTTCCTATAATATGTTAAGCAACTTCTCACATGACAGGACTATTTAAAAAAATAGATTTTTATCAACTTCGTTCAACACTGTATTTTATTGTTTCACAATCAATGAAAAAACGTTTCACATTCCGTATAACAAAATCCGTTGTAACGATCGGTCATAATATTAATGTACAATAGGGATTACGACTGGGTAAAAAAAAAAGAAATTCTATTTAGTTCGTCAATCAGAAAATAGAAAAATATTAGATACGTATTTTTTTACTACAATTTAAACAAGAAATAGCTTAGATAATAGGCATTAAAGTTGAGTAGTGGGGGCTCGCTGCGTCACAGTTTCGTAAAAATGTACAAAAACATGACGTCATGGGACATTTTAACTCAATATATTGCCGTCATTTATTGATACCGCAAAAAAATAAAAAATACGTATTAATATTCAACAATAATCTCCTCGACGGACAAACAAACAAACATTAGTCGTCATCCCTATTATACATATTCGCCACATTGCTTTCAAAAATATTTATCGCCACTTTCGCCACGTACCTTTCACGTTCGATAGTTATCAAGTTATCAAACA